AAATAACTTGTACACAATTTTTGTCTTCCTTTCTCAGGCGAAAACTCGGTAGAAGGACCTCCAGAGAACCAGTGAAAAATATACTTTTAGTTTGTTCAAAGGTTTTTTCTTCATAACTACATAAATATAATTTTGCTTTCTTTCCCTCTTAGAATTAACTTGTACACAATTTTTGTGGTTTCTTCTCAGGCGAAAACTCGGTAGAAAGACCTCCAGAGAACCAGTGAAAAATATACTTTTAGTTTGTTCAAAGGTTTTTTCTTCATAACTACATAAATATAATTTTGCTTTCTTTCCCTCTTAGAATTAACTTGTACACAATTTTTGTGGTCCCTTTTCAGGCGAAAACTCGGTAGAAGGACCTCCAGAGAACCAGTGAAAAATATACTTTTAGTTTGTTCAAAGGTTTTTTCTTCATAACTACATAAATATAATTTTGCTTTCTATCCCTCATAGAATTAACTTGTACACAATTTTTGTCTCCCTTTCTCAGGCGAAAACTCGGTAGAAGGACCTCCAGAGAACCAGTGAAAAATATACTTTTAGTTTGTTCAAAGGTTTTTTCTTCATAACTACATAAATATAATTTTGCTTTCTATCCCTCATAGAATTAACTTGTACACAATTTTTGTCTCCCTTTCTCAGGCGAAAACTCGGTAGAAGGACCTCCAGAGAACCAGTGAAAAATGTACTTTTAGTTTGTTCAAAGGTTTTTTCTTCATAACTACATAAATAAATTTTTGCTTTTTTTCCCTCTTAGAATTAACTTGTACACAATTTTTGTCTCCCTTTCTCAGTTGAAAACCAGGTAGAAAGACCTCCAGAGAACCAGTGAAAAATATACTTTTAGTTTGTTCAAAGGTTTTTTCTTGATAACTACATAAATATAATTTTGCTTTCTATCCCTCATAGAAATAACTTGTACACAATTTTTGTCTCCCTTTCTCAGGCGAAAACTCGGTAGAAAGACTTCCAGAGAACCAGTGAAAAATGTACTTTTAGTTTGTTCAAAAATTTTTTCTTGATTACTGCATAAAAATAATTCTACTTTCTTTCCCTCTCAGAATTAACTTGTACACAATTTTTGTCTTCCTTTCTCAGGCGAAAACTCGGTAGAAGGACCTCCAGAGAACCAGTGAAAAATATACTTTTAGTTTGTTCAAAGGTTTTTTCTTCATAACTTCATAAATATAATTTTGCTTTCTTTCCCTCTGACAATTAACTTGTACACAATTTTTGTGGTCCCTTCTCAGGCGAAAACTCGGTTGAAAGACTTCCAGAGAACCAGTGAAAAATGTACTTTTAGTTTGTTCAAAAATTTTTTCTTGATTACTGCATAAAAATAATTCTACTTTCTTTCCCTCTTAGAATTAACTTGTACACAATTTTTGTCTCCCTTTTTCAGGCGAAAACTCGGTAGAAGGACCTCCAGAGAACCAGTGAAAAATATACTTTTAGTTTGTTCAAAGTTTTTTTCTTCATAACTACATAAATATAATTTTGCTTTCTTTCCCTCTTAGAATTAACTTGTACACAATTTTTGTGGTCCCTTCTCAGGCGAAAACTCGGTAGAAGGACCTCCAGAGAACCAGTGAAAAATATACTTTTAGTTTGTTCAAAGGTTTTTTCTTCATAACTACATAAATATAATTTTGCTTTCTATCCCTCATAGAATTAACTTGTACACAATTTTTGTCTCCCTTTCTCAGGCGAAAACTCGGTAGAAGGACCTCCAGAGAACCAGTGAAAAATGTACTTTTAGTTTGTTCAAAGGTTTTTTCTTCATAACTACATAAATAAATTTTTGATTTTTTTCCCTCTTAGAATTAACTTGTACACAATTTTTGTCTCCCTTTCTCAGTTGAAAACCCGGTAGAAAGACCTCCAGAGAACCAGTGAAAAATATACTTTTAGTTTGTTCAAAGGTTTTTTCTTGATAACTACATAAATATAATTCTACTTTCTTTCCCTCTCAGAATTAACTTGTACACAATTTTTGTCTCCCTTTCTCAGGCGAAAACTCGGTAGAAGGACCTCCAGAGAACCAGTGAAATATATACTTTTAGTTTGTTCAAAGGTTTTTTCTTCATAACTACATAAATATAATTTTGCTTTCTTTCCCTCTTAGAATTAACTTGTACACAATTTTTGTGGTCCCTTCTCAGGCG